AGGATCCTCTGCCTCAGCCTCGCCCAGTACCAGCTGCAAACCTGAAAAGGATGCACCACCACTTGCGCGTCCGGGCAAACTTTCTCTTATATATCTTAGTTGGCCAAGATTGATTTTCTTTCTATTTTTAAGTAGACGGATGGGGTCTTCATTCGCTTGCCTTCAGGCTGGGTGCCTGAACTCCTGACCTTGAGTCGATCCCCCCGCCTCGCTGGCCTCCCAGAGCTAGGGGGATTATAAAAGGCGTTGATGGCCACCACGCGCCTGGCCAAGTTGTTTTGCAGTGTGTTGTTTACTGAACCTGATGTCAAGCGTTAAAGTTGACGCTATTACTTACTTTGAAAACCAACCTTGTGCAGATGTGGAAAACTGGAGCCTTGCCACACTTCACTTCCTTAGTAGAGCGTTCGGGTGGTTATCCAGACAGACTGTGCAACAATCCCCCTTGCAGACCCAGCCCCTGCTGTCACGACATGTCCCAGGTGTGTCTGGTCTCACCCCAAGAACCTGGGCTTGCTGGTGCCTTTACGTGGCCAGACCACCCAATTTGCAACCAATTTGCATACCCTACCATTCGCCTGCCCAAAAGGGCTTTGTTCTTAAAGAACAGAAACCATTCCCAAACTGTTCCATTTGCAAGATTAACCGGGCTGCTGCCACGAAATAAGAGGGCTGTAACTGATTTTTTCTGAAGGATAATGTGTAAATGACCTTTGGAAACCAAAAAACACTTGGTCATTTCGTATTAAAGGCGCAGATGTCAGCTTGTAGAGCACTCTTCTGCCGCCGGAGACGGTCATTGTTTTCATCAGGCGACTTTTGAACTTTATCTGCGATTTGTTCCTTCCTTTCTCTGCTTAAGATCCTCACGCACACAGAGATAAAAAGTCCAAGCTCCCCCCTAACCGGGAGTGGGCTTGCCAGTGGATTTAGGCAGCGTGGGCCTTTGTAGTCAAAACAAGTATAGGAGAGACCATCCGGACACCTGGACCAGCGCAAACTGGGGCTGTCGGTTTAAACCCCTCAGAGCCTCTGGTTCTGCCTGGCCTGAGAACATGTAGGAAGAGGATTCCACAGGTGGTTGTGGAGGTGGGTAGAGTCCACCTGGCACATAGGTGCTCAAAAAAAAGCAGATAGAGCCAGGCGCAGCGGCTCACGCCTGTAAGCCGTAGCACCTGGAGAGGCCCAAGCGGGAGGATTTTGGCCAAGGTCAGGAGTTCAGGCACGCAGCGTCTGAGCAGAGAGTGAGACGGACCCATTGTCTTTCTGTCATTTTGCGTTAAATTATAATGTGATAGAAAATCATACTGCCAATTAATCTAATATATTTTTTTTTGTTTTTTGAATATATTAGAAAAAAACGGTTCCAGCCGGCATCGGCGCTGTGGGCGCATGCCTGTGAGTCCCCAAGCGCCTTACTCAGGAGGCT